GAACACAACACATTGTTCCACCATTGAAACTTAAGAACACCACTATTGGTTCTTAACCAATCATAATCATAAACTAATAATGAAATATTAGTTAAGAACACAAAACATGTTTCTTGCATTGTACATGCTCTAACAGTTTTTCTTTAAACTCCATAAAATCACTCTTTACACCAACATTTTTTCGTCTTAAATAAAAAAAATGGATCGAAACATCCATAGTCCAAACTTCAAAGGGTTAAATTTGGTGACTAACTAAAAAAATTGATAACTAACCAAAAATATTATTTATATATGGCAAAATCATAGTAATTGAATTTAAGATAATTGGTTAGTTTCTTAGTTGTAGAAGTTTTTTTTTTTGTTGGTTATACAATTCAATTTCCTTTGTTTAAAAAACAAAAAGAGACGAAAAACATAACAAATTTTAACAATACGAAGTACCGAGAAATACACATACAAAAATCAATCATGCATTATGCATCACAACATAAACACATGATCGAAAAATTTGCATCCATTACGGAGATCTTTAATATATGTATCTTCTTCTACGAACTAGGCTTTCTACGTTGATGTTTTTGAAAAACGAAAACAAAACATAAACAAAATTTTGAAATAATAATGACAGATTATGAAGAAAAGCTTAAAAGCCTAGAAACACAGCTCTAGTGCTCTACATATCAAGTCATAAACAAAAATTGGAGATAAAATACGAAAACATTGGACACAACAACAAGGAAATACATTCTTGAAAGGGAAGAGATCGAGCAAACCCTAATTAAACCTTTTTTTCCAAATCAACATGTAATACATAGAAATCTTTCAATTTTTTTGTTATCTTCCGTCAATTTTGGTTTATTACTGATACAAATTCTTGAGGCTTCAACACAAGTCCACTCGTCTCAAGTCTATACTTGCTTCTCTTCTTAATAGGTAAATCTGCTTCTTCCCGAACACGAACACGACGATGATCCTCTTGAATTTCACCTTCTTCAACCTCATCAACAGTCTTGAATTTTCTTTTCCTCTCTCTCTCTCTTTGCTTCTTCTTCAAGTTGTTCCCGGAATTCATCGTTCTTTTTCAACTCCCGAATCTCTGGTTCCATAAGTCTGTTGAACATTCGAGAGAGACACTCGTCTTCTTCAAACAAAACCAGAAGAGACTTTATGAGGTTGTCTGCTTCTATACGGATCTAAATAGTTTCATCAAGTCGATGTATCGTACGAGTTCCGATGAACTTAGTCTTTGTCCGATGAAGTTCGTTATATAGATAAAGTAATAATTCCATTCGGATTCTCTCTCAACCATCGTCTTCATCTTCTAGATACAACAACGTTTTTTTCTCTTTCGATTAATATGTGTATAAGGATTGGTCATGTCATGTGTGTATATTTATAATTTATAGGGGAACGATTTGATTTTTTTAGTTTGATAAAGATAAATAAATTATAATCCTATGTTCTTTGGGATTATGAATTCTAATTTTTAATTTGGATTAGAAAATCTTTGGGGAATCATGTGAGATTTGATCTGTTTTTAATTTCAAACGTTAATATCCATCCGCCTAGACCTGCTGGCATTACCGTTGTTGCTTTCCTCTGCACTGGAAAGAGAGGATCTCGGGCGGATAGAGTGTAGGAGGCTGCGTGTTGGTAACGTGTTATACTTGTAAGGTTCTCTCCTCCGATTAGGCTGCAAATTTCAAAAGACCAAAACCCACAATATTAAAAACAGGTGGAGAAAAGAGTTCCGAGTACAAAACCGACTCATTTGATGATGTTCCAAGTATATACCTTGTCCTTTCATCGCTTGTGCCCTCGTCTAACCGCTGTTGATGGTGCAGGGGAAAGAGACCACGCTGAAGAAGACGAAGGTAGTTCATCTGAGTAGTATCTTCTTCTTATCAACTGGAAATTGAAAAATGTTCATGAGGTTTAAAGACAGAGCTCTCTGTTGTGCATGGGAAGCTGGAAATAACACTAACCATTCGGAAAAAGTTATTCAGAGCTTCTTTGTAGCAATATCGGCTTTGTTTCCAATAACGATGTATGGGACAGGAAGACCACCAGGTCCACGTACGATCATATGATATAACATGAAACATAAGTTTGAGTATGATTAAGAGCAAGCACAACACTTGTTGACGTAACATACTAGAACTAGACTCTTATTATTAGGTTCTCAGTAGCTCCTTCCTTAAAGATGTCAAAGATTCGAGTTTTTGCACAACAACAAACTTGCTTTGGTTCTATAAAAAAATTGGTACTTCAAAACCCAGAACCATTACCAAATCTAAAACATGTACGTAATCTAGCATCATCATCCATGGAAAAGAGGATTTAATCCAGAATCTTCAGGTTTTTGCTCAGATTTATGCTGAAGAAACGATTAGAGTTTGTAATTCATGCTCAAGTTGTTCAATCAAAGTGATCGGTTCGGTACTTACACTGAATCAAAATCATTTCCTATGGCTAAACCAGATTAGATACCAAACCGGATTGAGCACAAAACAATATGGCCCATTAGTAGCCCATTATTATAGGAAAAAAAAATCATCGACCGAAGAATCTGAGCTTTCTTGTTCGAGGGGTTGGGAACTCTGCGATTTCTCTCTTCTCAAAAACTCCAAAAAGCTCTCATATCTCTCTCTCTAGAGTTTAAAGCTTCTCCGTTCCGTCGCCGGAATTTCAACTACTCTTCGTTTGAGTTGATTCCCAGTGGTTTTCACGATGGCGAGTCCTCCATTACTCAGATCTGTTATTGGTTTCTCTCTCCTTGTTTCGAATTTTCGCATCTCATTCCGTTTTGGTATGGATTTCAGGGAGATAGCGGGAAGCTTGAGGCGTCGATAGATCGGCTTCTGAACGAAGAGAAGCAGATGAGACTCGCCGAAAATGTCGCCGGTACAAGGAAAGCCGCTACTGAGATTTTGAAGCTTTGCTTTGAAGCTAAGGACTGGAAACTTCTCAACGAGCAGATTCTCAACCTTTCCAAAAAACGTGGCCAGCTTAAACAGGTACTTGGATCCTAATCAGTTTGTCGTTTAAGCTCTTAGGGAACTTGGATTTTCGATTTGGTTTTACTGTTCCTTTGTTATGTGAGGGATTATCAGGTTGGAATTTTTTATTGTGACTTTGACTTCTGAATTGCGTAGGCCTAGTGTTTGGTACCCCTAATCTTGTAAAGAGATAGAGGACATAAGCAAAAAATTCAGGGGGATTCACCATTTGTGTTCAAAATACAAACTTACTTTATTGGCTTTTGTCCTGTGATAGGTTGCTTTTGCGATTTCTCTGTATGATTTTGAACCCACCCAACTTAGAAGTTTTACTGTTGACTAAGTATTAATGCTAAATTGGGTCATTGCAGATAGTGATGGTTGTGTTTACTTCAGTATTTATACTAAACTCAGTCTTATTTTTAGTGTACTTTTACTTTGTGTGTTTTCTTTGTCTAGTGTCTTCATATGGAATTAGACTTTTTCATGTACAGAATTAGATTGAAAATAAATGATACAAAGTGAAAGGTACACATTTTTTGTTGTTGTGAACTATTCCATTTGCAGGCTGTTCAATCCATGGTGCAGCAAGCAATGCAGTATATCGATCAAACACCAGACATTGAAACTCGGATAGAGCTTATTAAGACGCTGAACAATGTATCTGCTGGAAAGGTACGAACCCAAGAAGCTGATGGTGTTAATTTTTTTATCATAACTCTATCATTCTGTGTAACTGTTTGCATTTGAATTCTGTATGTACAGATATATGTAGAAATCGAGAGGGCGCGTCTGACCAAGAAGCTTGCAAAGATTAAGGAAGAACAGGGTCAGATAGCTGAAGCTGCAGATCTTATGCAAGAAGTTGCTGTAAGCTTTCTTGCATTTGGCTACTAAATATCATGAAAAGCTTCTTTTCCAGTTAGTCCTGCAATGTGATAACTGATAATGGTTAACAGGTGGAGACATTTGGCGCTATGGCAAAAACCGAGAAAATTGCGTTTATCCTTGAACAAGTAAGCACTTGTGTTATATTGCTGCAATTTAATATTTACTGGTTTTTGTGGTGCTAACTACTGCTGGTTAAACTTTAAAGGTCCGCTTGTGCTTGGATCGTCAAGATTATGTTCGGGCACAAATCTTATCTAGGAAGATCAATCCTAGAGTTTTTGATGCAGATACAAAAAAAGATAAGAAGAAACCTAAGGAAGGTGATAACATGGTAGAAGAGGCTCCAGCTGATATACCAACTTTGCTGGAGCTTAAGCAAGTTTATTATGAGCTAATGATTAGGTAAGGCCTTTTGCTTCTCTAGCAAGATTTGTTTTTCCATCAGTAGTTGTCTTAGCATGTTAAATTCGTATATCGTAGTTTAATCAAGGACCACTCTCGTCTCTTGAATTTTATCTATTTCTAATAGATGCATACTACAAATTGTTTCTGTTGGACTTGGACAGCATTAAGATTTGGATGAATCTTCTATTCTGCAATGAATTTTTTAGTTTTTTTCCTGGCCAAATATATATGGTTTAAAATGCATTAAGTTTTCACTTAATTTTGATGTGCCATGAATGATTTCCATAAAGTGCATTCATATCTTTTCATTAATAACCATATAAAATTCAACCATGTAGGTACTATTCTCATAACAATGAGTACCTTGAGATCTGCCGTAGCTACAAGGCGATATATGATATCCCTTCTGTAAAAGAAAACCCAGAGCAGTGGATTCCAGTAAGTCTATTATTTGTTTTAGTTTATATACAATTCTATATGATAAGTTTAGAATAACTTATATTTGATTTTCAAACATTAGGTCCTGAGGAAGATCTGCTGGTTCTTGGTCTTGGCACCTCATGACCCAATGCAATCAAGCTTGCTCAATGCAACGTTGGAAGACAAGAACTTATCAGAAATTCCTGATTTCAAGTATTTCTTTCTCCATGATTTTGGTTTTTTTTCATTACCAAGTTTTCCATTCTCAAATTGGGTTATGAGACTTTTTTGCGTGTCTTGATGCAGGATGCTTTTAAAACAGGTAGTGACAATGGAAGTTATTCAATGGACATCTCTCTGGAACAAATACAAGGATGAGTTTGAGAAAGAGAAAAGCCTGGTTGGAGGTTCTTTGGGTGACAAAGCTGGTGAAGATCTGAAACTGAGAGTCATTGAACATGTAAGCCTCGTGTTTTTATCTTTAAAGCTTGTTCGCAACATTTGATATTGTTATTAATCGTTTGAAAATCTCTTTATAATTCTGCAGAATATTCTTGTTGTCTCAAAGTATTACTCAAGGATAACCTTAAAGAGACTAGCAGAGCTTTTATGCCTAAGCATCGAGGTATTTATTGATCTGATCTCGCTAGTTATATATACACTTCAGAAGCTCTTTAAGTATATAATTCTTTCCTTTTCTGTTGGAAATTGCGATATCAGGAGGCGGAGAAGCATCTCTCGGAGATGGTTGTGTCGAAAGCACTGATTGCAAAGATAGACAGACCATCAGGGGTTGTGTGCTTCCAGATCGCAAAGGACAGCAACGAGATTCTCAACTCGTGGGCAGTGAATCTGGAGAAGCTTTTAGATCTTGTCGAAAAGAGTTGCCACCAAATCCACAAGGAAACCATGGTTCACAAAGCTGCACTCAGACCTTGAACCGGATACTCGTTGAGTTATTAGCATCTGTGGGAAAAAAACTCGAAACAGTGTTCTCTTGACAAGACTTCTAAAAAGTAGTATGGCCCGTTTTGTATACTAATGGAGTTTTTGCCTCCTATTTGTGTGTTTTCAATTACTGCTGGTGGATTATTTTTTCGTTCAAAATAAGATTTTATCTTAAATTTATAATCTGCAAAATCAGGAAAAATTGGTTATATACAGCTCAAAAGTATTAAATAATCTGTAAATTAATGAGAATTTTTCAACTATATAAAACAAAATAATTAGCAAGTAAAACCAAAAAAATTTCGGATGAAATTAGAGAAATGGGCCTTTCTAGGTACTACTATTACAACTACTTGGGCCCATCATTAACGATTGGAGCTTTTGTGTTGTCAAGTACCATTTATAGCCTCGCGATCGTCTGGAAATTACGAATTTATCTCACCTTCTTCTAGATATCAATCGAACAGGCAAAAACCAAAATTCCCCTTGTCTTTTTACTCGATTCGTCAAATTCGAAACCCTAACAAAAACCCTAATTGACGAGAATGGAGTTCGACGAATACGAGTACCTGGAGAAGACGGTGGAGGAAGGAGATGGATCGATTAAGAAGGAGGAAGAGAGCGGTAACGAGAAGAGCGATAGGAGTTACAGAAAGAGAGAAGGAGGAGAGAGGCATGACGAAGAAGACGGTGGCGAAGGGAGAGGGAGTAGTCGGAGTAAGAAGTCTCGTGGAGACGGAGAAGAGAACGGCTCAGGTAAGAGAGATCGGGATAAGGAGAGGCATAGGAGCAGCCGAGATAGTAACAGAGACCGTGAGAAAGATAAGGATAGAGAGAGAGATAAGGTTAGAGAAGGGTCGAGAGATCGTGAGAGGAGTAGCAAGGAGAGAGACAGGAGCGATAGGGAGAAAAGCAGAGACAGAGAGAGAAGAGAGAGGGAGAAGGAGAGAGAGAGGGAGAGGAGAAGCAGCAGTAGATCTCGAAGGGAAGAGAGGGAACGTGAAGTAGTCGAAAGAGGAAGCAGGAGACACAAGGACAAGAAAGATGAACCTGAAGCAGATCCAGAGAGAGACCAAAGAACTGTTTTTGCATATCAGGTTGGTTTTTTTTAAACATTGGGTTTAGTCATTAAGGGGGGAAAAGATTCCTCTCTGTGAAGAGCTAACCTATCTGGTTTTGTAATGTGCAGATGCCTCTTAAAGCTTCAGAGAGAGATGTTTATGAGTTCTTCTCCAAAGCCGGCAAGGTCAGTTACTTTTTTTTTGCCTTTTCTAGTTTTGATAATTCGGTTGTAGTTAGTGTAGGCTTGCTCAATGACCTTCAGTTTTCGATCATAAGGTTACATATATGTTCCTGTTTTAGTGATGAGCTGCTGTTTTGATGTTTTTGACCATGGCATATGATCCACTACTGGAATTTTTAGATTTTCATAATATGTTGCAATCTGTGGTTATTTGTCTCTAACAATATGATATATAGAAATGATAAGTTTGCTTCATTGACTTCTTCTGTTGGCTTGGGAAGCACAGCTTATTGTTCTTCAGTGTTTAATCATTTGTGTGTGTGTGTTTTTCTATCTTGATGGCTAGATCTCTCTAGCTTACTGCAGAGAGATGATTTTATCAAATTTCTGTTTCTGATCTTGATGTTTTTGTCAAACGTCTGTTATTTTATCTCTTGTGTTCTGTTTCGTCTTTATTCTTAGTGTTCTCTGTTCCTTATAATTTCAGGTGAGGGACGTGCGGTTGATCATGGACAGAAATTCAAGACGATCAAAAGGAGTCGGGTATGTATTTCATTCAGTTTCTATTAAACTAAAGTTTTGTGTATGTGCATTTGGGTACGTAATATTCTGCATATTCAGTTTTCTCTGCAATTTCAAGAACTCGATTTAAATGTATTCTTAGATGCACTAGCAATGCGATAATGATGAGGATGATGGCAATATCTTGCACACTTGTTTAATCAATTCTGCGGGGTCAAGGTAGATGTCAGAAAACCTGAATCCTATTTCAGTTGTTTCTTTCAATTGCAAGCACTATCAGGAAGGAGGGACTCCATTAGCCTATCACTCTTATTCAGATTCTTTGTTTGATGCTTCCTCCTAGTCTCTGTTGCTTTCCCAACCTCTGTTTGGAAATATTCACTGTTGGAGGAGCTTGCTTCTATCCTCGTTGCTGTTTTAGATTTAATTATTGTTCCTTCATCATGATGGGCTAACATTTTCTATTACTTTAGGCCTCCAATCTACCAAAAGAGACTCAGCTTGAATCCCCGCACTAAAGTTTTTTGTTTCCAACTTCTCTTTGCTACATGCTTTGTAAGTTTTTTCTGTTATTTTCGTACTACATGTGCATGAAGTCAAGTATGTCTCTTTTTTTTTTGGACTTGCAGGTATATTGAGTTCTATGATGTGATGTCAGTTCCAATGGCCATCGCTCTGTCTGGACAGCTGTTTCTTGGACAACCTGTGATGGTGAAGCCCTCAGAAGCTGAGAAGAATTTGGCTCAATCTAATACCACTACGGGCGGTGTAGGTGGTACTGGCCCTGCTGATAGGAAGCTGTATGTGGGGAACTTGCATTTCAACATGACAGAGTTGCAGCTTAGACAGGTATTGTCAGTTTGAGACATCCACTCTCATTAATGGTTTTCTAGATACATGGCTTTCCCGAGAGTCTTTGTTACTTGTGGACACACCAGCGAGTGTTTTTCCCCAATATTGTTCCTGCTCACAGTTGTTTCCTTTTCTCTATCAGCTTTTTGAGCCGTTTGGTCCCGTTGAGGTTGTTCAGCTACCACTTGAGCCTGGAACTGGGCAGTGCAAAGGTTTTGGATTTATCCAGGTTAATAGAACACGTTTCTGAATTAGTTGGTGCTCTTTTTCTTCGCTATTCCTTACTTATGTTACTCTCTTTTCCGTAGTTTGCCCAACTTGAACATTCAAAGGCAGCGCAAATTGCCTTAAATGGAAAACTGGAGATTGCTGGTAGGACGATCAAGGTGAGTTTTAAACTCCCTGTTGGACAAATGATGAGTTCTTGGACTTGCATGAATCTGATGTTACGTTATCGTGGTAAAACAAAAATCTTTGTAGGTTTCCTCTGTCTCTGATCATAATGGTACACAAGACTCTAATCCAAAGTCTGCTGATTTTGATGATGATGATGGAGGTGGACTGGTAAGCTAGAGAACCTTTTTCCTTGTACTCTTATTCTCCTTTCTCTTTAGTGCTTGTTCTTTAACAACTCTCTCTCTCTCTCACACACAGGCTTTAAATGCACAAGCGAGGCATCAGCTGATGCAGAAGCTGGATCGTACGGGTATCGCAACGAGGTATGTCTCTCTTGTATGCATCGTTTTTCTTCGTTTAGTTCAATTTTTTTTTTTGTTTAGTGTTCTCTCGTTATAACACATGGAATTTATCCACAGCATTGTCAGCTCCCTTGGAGTCCCAGCGCTAAATGGAACAGCTTTGAATCAATCAGGCATGAATCCTGGTTTTCCCACATCAGTGCTTCCGACAACAGCAATCCCTGCTTTTGTAGCCGAGCCTGTTGGTCAGCCTAGTGAATGTCTTCTACTGAAGAACATGTTTGATCCTGCAACTGAGGTCGGTTCTTGCTTTTCTTTTTACCAGTTGGAAGCTGTTGAAAAAATAAAAAGCGAGTCTCAGCCTTATGGAAATGGGCTGCTGGCTCTTTTCTGTAAGTAATAGTAACTTTAAAATGTTATTCTGTTGCAGACGGAACCGGATTTCGAAATTGATATCAAAGAAGACGTTCAGGAAGAATGCTCAAAATATGGGAGAGTCAATCATATTTATGTAGACAAGTAATTTCAGTGATTCAATCAAATTGTCTTTTGCATACTTTTTGGGTCTTGAGGTTTATAGGCATGTGATGATATTGGTCTGAATCTTTTTAAAAACACAGGAACAGCGCGGGTTTTGTGTATCTGCGGTTTGAATCGGTGCAGGCTGCAGCTGCGGCTCAAAGAGCAATGCATATGAGATGGTTTGCACAGAAGATGATATCTGCAATTTTCATGGTAAAAAACTAAAAATAGATCAATCTCTCTGTTTCTTTCATTTGTTTCTCAGGTTTACTGAATGAGATATTTTTTTTTATTGCAGCCTCTACATGAATATGAAGCCAGAGCCAAGGCGTGAATTGACCAGGTTTTTTGTGTTTGGTAGATTTTCTTGTTCTGACTTTGGTATAAAACCTACACCGGACTGCGTTCCAGATTCAATCTCTTGTTCTGAAACATGTTATATACAGATCAAAAAAGATTATTGGGGAC